TTTCCCCCCCCCCCCCCCCCCCCCCCCCCCAGTATCTCAGAACCACCCACTGCAAGAAGGACCGGACCCCAAAGGGGTGGGAAAACAGCGGTCCCTTTGTTGGTCAGATGGTCAGGAGAGCGGGACGACCACTCCTTGCTACCCCTGCTTGCCACCTCGCCAACTCATCCCCTGCCAGAGTTCCCTCTCGGGTAACTGACATAGCTCAACCAGGATGGAGGAGCCCACGATGTCTCAACCCTTGAGCATCGCCTCCCCTCCCCTCCCATCAGCTGCAAAGGACAAAAATCCTCCAAACAAGAGGCGGCAGGCAGGATCAAAGCAAAGGCTAAGTCCATTTCTGGAAGAAAACCTTCCAAGTTGGCTGAGAAACAGGCTAGCAGAAGACACCAGGCCCTGGAGAGGGAATTCTCCAAGGTACAAAAGCAAGCCAAGGCAAAAGCAGAACAAATAGAGGAAACATCCTTTGATCTTCCCTTGGGACCTTCCACCCACGGAGTTTGGTTCCCGGAGGGGTCCCCCCCAGGCGCCTGAGATGGGCCCTCCTTCACTAGGGGGCCACAGAACCCGCACCTGAGGCCACGTTCACACCCACAGCGGCAGAACTCAGGGGGGCGGATTAATAAAGATGCCTGTTGGAAGAGATATTCCAAGAGTTCTGTCTTAAGTTGTAAAGTGGGGTGGGTCCTTACAAGCACTGAGTTTGTCAGCTGGAGAGCTGACAGTCCAGGTTTGAGACCTGAGCTCCTTGGGAAGGGGTGAGCTTCCATTCCTTGCCCCAGCTCCTGCCCACGTAGCTGTTTGAAAGCACGCAAATGCAAGTAGATTAATAGTTACCACTTTGATGGGAAGGTAACAGTGTTCTGTGCGCCTGTGGCGTATAGTTATGCTGGCCACATGACCATGGAAATGGTCTTCTGACAGTACTGGTTCCCTTGGCCAAGAAACAGAGAGGAGGAGCACTGGGCCCTAGAGTTGGACATGACTGACAGGAAAACCTTTACCTTTTTTTACTTTTAACTATGTTAATTGAACTGTCTAATGCAGTGTTTCTCAACCTTGACAATTTTAAGGCATGTGGACTTCAACTCCCAGAGTTCCACAGCCAGCATTGCTGGCTGTGGAATTCTGGGAGTTGAAGTCCACATGCCTTAAAATTGTCAAGGTTGAGAAACACTGGTCTAACGTCTTGATTTTGAGTTTATTGTAAATCACTGAGACCAAATAAATTTTTTTTTTAAAAAAAGTCAACATTCTGAGGTGCTTTTTATAATAATAGTTGATGTCAAAGTTAGGAGTATTACAGAATTTTTTGTGTGTTTAAATAGCAAAGTCTAGCTTGACAAGAGTGCTTTTTTTGTCAAACCAACAACCTGCAGTTTCTTAACGGTTCTTAAAACTGCCAATATTTTCTCTTGCGATAGGACAGCAAAGCACATATGGAAAGGCATCCCGAGGTGGCGGTAATCACCAAAACAACTACCAGCCATATTAAAAGAAATATTTGGGAAGAAACAGGTGTGTATTGGGTGAATGTATCACCTCTCATATATCTAATCTAATTTAAAGATCAATAGACAAATAAATTTTTAAAAATCACTTCTCTTGGATAGCTTATTTTTTTAAAAAAAACAAAACAAAATTAAAACTTGTGTGAATGTCTGTTAAACTTTCTGTTTTAAGTGTCTATAGATCTTTAACTCTGTAAAAGGTGATTCGTCGTCCTTAGTATGTCAGAGAAACATAAGAGTTTTTCTGTTTACATTTTTGTGTGCCAGGTGGTGTAGACGAATAATTAAACTTAATAGAAGTGTTAACCAACAGGTAAAGTACTGAAATGGGTACAACTTAAGCAAAACAAGATTGTTGTCTTCTAACCTCTGACATTATACCTTGTTTGTACCCGCCAGCGGGAACTTCCTTGCAGGCCGTGTGTCACCCTGACCACGTCTATCTCTGGGGGTCGCACGTTGCAGGCAGAGCGCAAGGCATACACCAGAAAACGCTGTCCTGTGGTATGGTCTCTTCCAACTTCATGTACCAGCGTAAAGATTAAAGTGGAAAACTTCAGACTTTGGCTTCTTTTTAAAAAATCTTCTTTGAAGATATAAGTGTCTTAACTTAACTTAAAATGGTTTTTTACAGGAGTTAAAGTGCATAAATGCCTTTACAGCTTAATCATTTTTGGCCTTCTGTTTAGTGTTGTATATCAATTGTGGACCTCATTTTAAGTGTTCGTTCTTTAAGATTTAATGCTTGCTTTTTTTCTTTTATAGCTATTAGTGAAATCTACAAACCAAAACGAACTTTTAAATCTGGGAACATTAAAGATCATGTGCAGTGAGCAGTTTCTATTTTAACCACCTGGCTAACAATAATTTTCCTTGCTGTATTGCCATTTTCTATTTTCATTAGCGGTTGAAGCTATGAAAGATTCTTTCCACAGCTTGGTTTCTAGTAAACCAAGAACTGCTTTGCTGAGCTTCTACAGTTCTTTGACATAGCTCCATCGTTTGAGCTGAACTGGTCAACCGGGATGTAAAATGTAATTGGGTGATCAAAAGTATTTCATGTTGACAGATGCATATGATCTTTAACGGTGAAGCAAGGAATAAATAGAGGACTTAAAGCAGTTCATGAAAATGGACCTTTTAAAAATTCTTCCAAACGTTGCACACAGGTCTCATAATGATTTTGTCTTGGTTTTATAGGTAGAGACTACAGCAAAGCCATCTTGCAGAACTTAAAGGACTGACTGGAGGGGGTAGTCTTCGTGACATGAAATTGTTTTGTAAAAGACTTTTAGTGTATGACACAGCAGTGTCTAACTGTACATAGTGACTGGCTAGTTTTCTTTATGGTTTTTACTTTTTTGTCCTTTTGTCATCTGTGTTACGATGCCAATGTGGTTCTTGTGTTTATACAATTTTATTTGTATAATTTCTTGTTGAATGACTCAAATAAAAACTTACCTTCTGTGACTGTTGCATTTTGAGGTTGTGCTCTTGGCACTGCTGTATAGTAGCAAGAGGTGAACAGTTTTTGAGACGCCGTTGCCATGCTTTCTACAGATGCTGGGACTTGAAGGTCAGCAGCAACTGGAGTGCCGTGTTACGGATATGTACCTGGACTAGAAAATTGCAGTGAGGAGGCTGCAAACAGAGAATGATTATTCAAAAGAGTAGTATCCTGTGTTGTAATGCCTTATGATTTGTTATAATTTTGTTAACTGCTGGGAATCTTCAGTATAGAAATGTTAATAAATAAATTTTCATGCATTGAAATGACCACTTTGTGATCACATGAAAATAGAGGCAAACACAAACCTAATTTATGTAGCCATCAACTTTGGTAAGATGCTGACTGCTAAATAATTGATTTTTTTTACAACTTGTACTTGAGAATATATTCTGAATGTACTGCCACCTTTGTTATTTCTAACCCTAAAGATAATGCTGATAAAATATGTCTGCAAAACCAGTTTATGAAAGCAGAATAGTGGCTGTTTCTAGATAAATATGAAAGCGGGACAATTAGGATTGTTTTCCCCCCTATAATTTTGTTGATTAAAAATGTTTTCTAAAAGCAGATTATCTGAAAATCGGCTGGGCAAACATTTCAGCAAATAAAAAAATAGAGCCTGAATTATGGAGAAATTATGTTACTTAAGGCATAAGTAACAAAAGGCTTTTACAAAAAAACCCTAATATCAGCTGAATTTGAGCACTTTCCTGAATAGAAAATTTAATATGTTGTCAATCTTGATAACATGTTAAAAGTAAGTCTGTAATACAAAAATGTAGCATACTTGGGAAAGTTTGCATATCAACCTAGCATTAAGAATATAAACAGCTTCAAAACTTAACTACCTCATTCAGGCTAATTTTGTCTATAAGCTTAAAGATTTATTTTTATACGTTTTTTTAATGTTAGTTTTGCCCAGAAAATGGCAGCAACTGGCTGATGTTGTCTAATCTCTAAAGCTAACTCTGGTTGAACCTGATCAACAGTTTGAAAACCTCAAGAGTTTAAGGCTTTACTGGGAAGTAAAGAAAAAGTTAAAGTTATATTTTCATGTTTCAAGAAAGTTCAATAGATGCATTCAAGAAATAAGGAATTGAGCTTGACTCAAAGGGACTTCATTTTCATGAGCTGTGATCCATAAAAAGCAAAATTACAAAATGTATTACCAGTTTGATTGAGTTCAGTTTTGCCCATTTGAGATTCAGGTGAGTTGTTTTAGAGTTAATTGAGCAATTGGAAGCAAATAGCTTTTTAGAAAACAGTTATGAACTTGATTCTATTCACTTCTATACATGGCTGATTAACTACAGATAAAGATATTCACGGAACAAAATGGGAAAGGCAAAATGTGTTGCTTGTATTTTAAGAATAGAGCAAAGCAAAACTAAGAATTATTTATATATAGTATTTTAAGTATGAATAAAAAATGTCCAGAATATGAGAAGATTTGGCTCATATTTCAAAATCTGGTTTGGAATGGAAGGTGGTCAAATTAGAGCCACTGATTACTCATGTGATTCCAATGGTTTTAGATGCTATATTGATGAATATTGCAGATCATTGTTAAAAAAATTTTTATTAAAATTTGCTGGGAGCTATCATTTGACACCTCCGAATACTTTTATTTTTCTGATGCTCTTTTATCTATTTAAATTAATTGCCGAAGGACCATTGTGTCTTGGAGACTGGTTGAGAAGGGCATTTCAAGGTTTCCAAAAAGTTTGGACCAATTTAATTCAGCCTTAACGCTATTCATGGTGAGGGATATGGCAGTGATTTAAAACACCCAAACAAGTTGCAGGATTTTAATCTCTTCAGTTCCCCAGTTGGGGAAATTTATCTGCCTGGCAGTTCACAGTAATGTTTTTATTTTTTTTTTAATTGGAAGCATTGTTTTTGGGTCATCTGCTGTTTTATCCACTCCCCTAGAAGATTGATATACCGAAGCTTGGGTTTTTATCAATTTTCTTGGGTTTTTATCAATTTTCTAGGAGTGGGTAAAAGAGGACAGAAACAAAATATAAAATATTATAAAACGTTGTAATGTGGCTGCTTAAGCATCAGTTGAAAAGATGGCTTGTGTTTTGCAACGCAGGAGTGATTTTCTGGCGCCTTTTCTCTGGAAGCCATAAGTGACTCGAACGCGCAGGCACATAATGGCAGCACTTTTTAGGGCCCCAAATCCCCTATTTTTAATGTCTCGAAGATTCGTGTTTTTCAACCGTGGTAACTTTAAAAAAAAGATGAGTGGACTGCAATTCCCAGATTTCCCCACATCCACAGTACAAATTTTCAAGGTCGAGGAACGCCGCAATAGAGAAAGGGGGTAAGGAAACCAAAGAGTTGGAAGTGCCAAAACAACAGGAAAAGCCCCAAGGCCGAATTGCTCCGAGTGTGGCGCGAAAGAAGCGCCGCTCTAGCACCCTGCCTCTGTGATTGCACCCGGGGAGGAAATGCGCGCGAGGAAACGGGGCCTTCGCTCACGTGACCGCGCCGTCGCATTCTTCCCGTCAGCCATTTTAGATCGGAATCAACGAGGCGGCGCCATTAAAGTGCGAGAAAGAAGGAAACAAGGGGGGGGAGCCTGTTTCTCCCCGTAGCCGGAGCTCCGCTTCTCTCTCCGTGGAACCCGATTTGTCCCTTTCGGGCGGGCATAGATTCCTCTCCTCGTTCGAGACCGGCCAGCCGAGTCTCTACAGCGCCCCCCCCAACACACACACTCACACACACACTCATGTCGGACGAGCAGTTCGCCGGAGATGAAGCCATGGCGGAGGCTTCGGAAGAGACCGAGCAGCTCGAAGGGATCGAGGCCCCCGGCGGAGACGGCACGGAAGGGGCCGAGGAAGGAGGTGGAGGAGGAGAAGGCGGAGGAGGGGGCGGCGGCGGCGGCGGCTCAGGCGAATCGGAGGGAGCCAAAATCGACGCGAGCAAGAACGAGGAGGATGAAGGGTAAGCGGTCGGCCTCCTTTCCTCCCCTCCCCCCCTCCTCCCCCGCTTTCGGTCTCCGCGAGGCGCAGGAGGCGGACGGGCGGCCCGAGGAGACGGCGGCGGCGGCGGCTGAGGCGATCGCTTCTTGCAGGAAACGCGCCGTCGCCGCTTCCTTCCTTCCTTCCTCTTCCCTCCTCCGTCCCCCCATAACCCGGCCCTTCTCCCCCTCCCCTTCTCCGAGGGAGCCTTGGAAGAAGAAGCGCGCTGGACTCGGGCGGCTGAGGCGCGGGGCGGTCAGGGTAGAAACTTCCGAAGGGCTTGTCCCAAAAGGTGCTTTTTTCCAGGACTTCCTTGTTTTAACCTCGAAGGCTGTTTCGCTTCTCATCCCAGAAGCTTCTTCAGTTCTGACTGGATTGGGGGGGGGGGTTAATTGGAAGGGTTTATATTCCTTTGCAGACAGCTGGTTATATAATTCCTTCCATTCCCCACCACCCAGTCAGAGCTGAAGAAGCATCTTGGAAGAAGAAGCAAGCGAAACGTCTTCAAAGAAAAACAAGAAAGTCCAGTTGCCTCCTGACAAACCATGACCTGGATGACTGGGAATCTCCATAGATATTCCGAAAGGGATTGCTTTGGATCCTTGTTTTAGACCAAGGCTTTTCAACCTTTTCACCCATTGTACCACTTTTAGGAGATGGCAGTATCCGAGTACCACCAGTCGCCTAGCAAGGGGTCAAAAACTTGATGACAAAAAAAAAAAAAAAAGGAAAAACGTGATAAAGTACAGGTAGTCCTTGACTTACAACAGTTCGCTTAGTGACTGTTCGAAGTTACAATGGCACTGAAAAAAGTGCCCCCCAAGCCACAGCCGAGCAAGACACCTGCCTGCCCACCCGGCGGTGCTCTTCCTCCTGTTTGAGGTTTTCATTGTTGTATTTCTGTTGAGGATTGGCAGTGGGGTGGGGTGGGGGGTGTGTTTGGTTTTTATTCCCCCCCCCGACTGCTGGGTGGTTGCAGCAGGTTTTGGTCACTTCAAATGACCCTGGGACACTGTGACCGTCATAAATATGAATCAGTTGCCAAGCATCTGAATGTAAATCACAAGACCCTGGAGAGGCTGCAACATTCCAGCTGATCGGCGCTTCTTCTGGGCTCAGCAGAAGCACCAGGATCAGTGCTGCTTTCCAGCTGGAGCCTGGCGCTGATCCTGGCGCTTCCACTGAGCCCTGACAGCCCTGCAGCTCCAGCCATCTCTCGCTCAGGCTTGTGTGGTGCTGCTACCAGTTCAGCTCATTCCCCTCCCCTGCTACCACTTGTCTAGGATGGTCGCATACCACCTGCCAGGTGCCAATGTACCACAGGTGGTACCCGTATCACTGGTTGAAAAGCCCTGTTTTAGACAGCCACGTTCGTGACCCACTTCTCCCTCGGCCATCCTGAGGGAGTGTGGAGGGTGGCAGAACTAGTCGAAATCACACGCTTGTGGTGTGACTTAGCACAACGCCATGCCATTATTACCGGTAGTCCTCAGCTTACAACAATTCATTTAGTGACTGTTCAGAGTTACGATAGCTGAAAAAAGTGACTTAGGACCATTTTTCACACACGACGGTAACAGCGTCCCCGTGGTCATGTGAAATTCAGGCATTGGCAACTGACTCATATTTAGGATGGTTGCAGTGTCCCCAGGTTTATGTGATCCCCTTTTGAAACCTACTGACAAGCAAAGTCAACGGGGAAGCCAGAATCGCTTTACAACCATGTGGCTGATTAAACAACTGCAATGATTCAATTAACAACTGCGGCAAGAAAGATTGTAAAATCAGCCCAAACTCATTTAACAAGTGTCTCGTTTAGCCACATAAATGTTGGGCTCAATTGTGGTTGTAAGTCGATGACTACCTGTATTATTTCATATGCCTTGTCCCCTGGCCAGTAACGTGTATTTTAAGAGTTGAAATAGTTGGAAAGAACCTGCAGGATGAAAACTAACAACAATCCTGTTTTGTTGGTGAAGGGCCATGTATGCTGCTACAAAAATGTATTGTCGGAAATAGTGCTAGGTTGTAGCACCAGAGACGTATAGATTTTTTCTTCATTTCGGGATAACAATCTGAAAAGTTTGTTTTAGGCTTGGACATTGAATTTGAATGTCTTTTTAAAGTGAAATGTAGATTAATGAGTACAGGAAAGTAATTGACATGTGCAACCTCATAGACCCTATTGCAGATCCTTTTGATTTTGTAGTTGACATGGTTGGCTATTAAATATCTGGAGAGTTGTGTTTTGTATGCAGTGCGGTATATAGATTTGCTTCCCTAAAGCAGGATTTCAAACTTTTTCAGTTTTTTTCCACTTTAGTCTGTTATAACATTAAAGTTGTTGTGGAAAAACCTTTTAATGCAACCAAGACTAGTACATTATTTTAAAAAGCAGTTCAGGTATTACATATGGTTTGCATGTTTTATTTGGAATAGACAGGTCACTCATGGTGCATCAGTCTTGTAAATACACAGGTTTTTGGG